TTTTTCAGTTATTTTTAACTGATTAAGAAGCAAAAAGTCAGTCACTACTGATTGTCAGTTAAAACCATGATTTTTAACTGATTCAAATTAAGAGAATATATTATTTACCATATTATAAATAATATGCCAATACCCAATGGGAAATGTCAGTGTAGTGCCGATGTTCACCACTGGCTTAGTACTCAGACGATTGTTCGGCGTAGTCTAGCCGAGCCTCGACAATTAGTGCTGGCGCAGAAAAGAATTTTTGTTTCGCCAAAGCTTGGACAAGCCACGGCGGCAAGTGCTGGCTGAGTATAGAAAAATTGTTCACAACGCTCTTTGCCAACATTGCTTTTTTGACATAAACTTGAAAAAAATTATAAAAAAAAGTTTATAAATGTTTATAAATATAAATTTATTGAAAAAAATTAATATTTTACTTTTCAGTTGTTCATTTTTTATTCTTATTAAATTTAATAATAACAATTTAACACAATTGTCTAATTTTGTAAATAATAAATTATTTAAACAAATTAAAATTATAAACAAAATTTAAACTTTAATCTCAATAATAATTTGGTTCCTATAAAATACTATTATACTTCTTACTATGAATAAAAAATTATTAAAAAATTACCACGTAATTTAAGAATTACGTAAAATGTTAAATGGAATAAGTAAAGTAATTTAGTTTAATTATTAAAAATTTAGTTTAACTTATTTTACTTCAATTTATTATTTCTAACGTATCCCTATTTTTTTCTCATCTTTGACTCAATAATTGTATGTCTGAATGATACTGAGATATTAATACTTTACTGTACACATGTGTCGTTAGCATAGTGGTTAGAGCGTTAGTCTGTTAGTCCGTAGGTCGTAGGTTCGATTCCCCTCGTCAGCAATTTTGTTTATTTTCATAGGTTTGCGATATTTCTAGATTCCATTCGTTAGGTACTAAAATATGAAAACCTAATGCACACTTACTGTAATTGTTTATTATTTAATTTTTAAATGTTATAAACAATTTTTTTCTACTTCATTTACTATATCCATTGTTAGTCTCCATCTTTAATACGATTTCTTTAAGAAGAGAAATATTTTATGAATAATAACTATTTATTAATATTATTTACTATTTTGTTGTTAAATTATTTATAATTATGAATTTACGACTAATTAATAACAATACGGCATTTATTGCGGCAATATTCTCAGCCAGCACTGGTCCAGTGCTGCGCCAGCGCTGTCTGGCAGCACTGACAGACAGTACTTCGGCAGCGCCAGCCGGCGTTATCATCCTAGTGCCATGCCAGTGCTGGCTCTCAGCCATGCCGCCAGTGCTGCCAGTGCTGGCGCAGTACTACGCCAGTTGTAAACCCATTGGGTAGATGTTAAACAGGTACATAATAGATATTAAATAGTTTAAAGCATTTTTAACTTGTTTTATTTAGAAAAAGTGACATTGTCACATATAATTTCTTATAATCTTTGAATTTAAAAGATTGTGACGTAACACATGAGTTCCCCCCCCCTCCCCCATGTCACACTTAGTCACAATTCTCAGACCCCCTCCCTCCCCCTAGCCGCGTGACGTATTATGTGTACGGCCCCAAATGGACAGTTTTTATTTTTTTAAAAAAAATTTTATCATAAAGGTGAGGTTTTTTCCTAAAAACATGTGTAGGTCAAAACGTGGGACAAGAACTTTTAACTGGTCAAAATAAACATTTACTTCTGCAATCCACCGCCCCTGCGCGTTGTTGGGCTGTATATTGTTTATAACAATTAAAATAAATTATTTTATGCTTTATTAATTATCTGGTGGTCATATTGGATGAATTTAAATTGATTTAGATCATGTGCATTAACGGAATAAGAAAATAAACGTCCTTTTTTAAAAAAGTGTATTAATTTGTTAACTTTGATTTAAAAAAAATTATAAATAATTAAAATCCCCAAAATCGGCCTCGAAGGATGTCTTAAGAATTTATTCCCTTTTAATTTAAGACAAAGAACACTCAAATCGGTTAAAAATTGTAAGCTATAGACATTTTTTAATAGGAAATTGTAAAAAAATTCCACTGTGGGCCGGTGCAGTGCAGATGTAAATGCTTAATTTGACCAGTTAAAAGTTCTTGTCCCACGTTTTGACCTATACATTTTTTTAGGAAAAAACCTCACCTTTATGATAAAATTTTTTTTAAAAAAATAAAAACTGCCCATTTGATAAAAAAATGAAATTTTATTTTTTAATTTAATTTTTCAAGGTCAAACAATTTTTTTCTCTACATTTGTTCACACTATTAGAAAGTGTTGAAAAACAACAGCAAAACCCAAAATAGAAAACGTATTTTCGTTTTGTTTTAAAGAAACTACAAATTCTTCAAATATTCCATGTAAATTTTTGACCTGGGTCACTTGACGTGGAACCCGTCATATATTAGGTGACATTAAGATTATAAAATGTTTATAAACTTGTTTATAATCGAATTAAAATATTAACATACTAATAAAACTAAACTTTCCGTCTAAGATTCACCAATTATAAATATAATTTATGGACTTATATATTATTAATAAAACACGAGTCAAAAGTAAACCGACAAACCGGCGACGCGACGCGCTATTCAGACTTTTCACGTTTACAAATTGCGTCCCTTGTGACGTCACAATCAACTGTTTCAGCCTCGCCAGACTTACAGTCAGCTGTTAGCCTACCTTATTAGAAGTTAATTTCATCTAACTTTTTAATAATACCATTGGATCTGAAATTAAGTCCGGTGTAATTACAAATAAATTACAAACTGAGTTTTATTTAAGTAAGAGTACAACTAACTTTAATTTTCAGTTAGTTTTTATGATTAAATAAAGTTGATAGCTTAAGATAAGTCAAAAATTAAAACTAGCCACCATTAAATTTAAGACTTTGTTTTTACTGTGTAAACTCAGAAATATTGTGTACGTAAAATTACTATAGTCGTTTGTAAATGCAGAAAGAAAGAGTGAAAGAAAAAATACGGATTTTTATCGCCGGTTTCCCGTCAATTCTTGACTAATGGAGATAAACTAGAAGGATTTTTACACACACAGAGACACACACACACACACACACACACACACACATATATATATATATTTGTTGGATAAATATTTGAAGACACACACATGTTTATTTCACTTATATGTATAGACGCGGTTAATTAATACACTAATACACAACTGCACGCACGACAACGAATTTCACTGAAAGTATACATCTTTGTTTCCTTATATATTGAATGATAAAAATTTACAGCACTTACGAGAAAGCAGTTTACTTTTAACAACTTATTATAAGACATAGTTCTTGGGACAGGAATAAATGCAAAATGTATTAATTTATAATGGTCAATTTCTGAGATAACGAACGACCTACGTTTCACATTATATTCAATTATTCTAGATAATATCCAAATTTATTTTACATACGCGAAACATAGTCACTGTCAATGATCGGATGGCATCGGCTCATTTACGGAGATTGACGAAGTTAGCAACCAATAGAAATGCAGGCGCCATATGACTGCACTCGTTAGCCACACTTTCTTACCAAAAATTACTACAGTGGATAGTAGGTTTTAGTGGAAAATGTTTTCATTTGTCAGATTTTGTCTAATGAAATTAGATAAAACTATAATCAATTTTCGCTACATTTACAACTCTTACACAAAATATTAAAACTTGCTATTTCAATGTAGCAAATTTATCTATTTCTTTTGTAAATTTATCTATTTCTGTAGTACATTATGCTAAAAGTCCCCTTATCTCCGGTCATTGCAACCATTTTTAGTAATTTTTACAGATGTGGGTATTAAATAACAATTATGTTGCTTTTAAAGCCGATTGAATGTTTCCGGGTCAAGATTTTTAACTTTCTAAAAGTAATCCAAAAACCTTTTTTAGCCTCTGTTAAGTCTTCTTAACACTTCTAAATCATGAAGCTGAAACTGGCACCTAGTTATCAGTACCAACTTAATTTTGGAAATTAAATTTTAATTTTAAATATTTTTATGATTTAATTTCTAAATCCTTCTTTTAGACCTGAAAAACTGCAAAAAAAAATGTATTTGACACTACACTGCACACTGCACTGATCTAACAGACAACAAAATTATTATTCGACAGAACTGACACGCAACAAAATTGATATTTTAACGACCTGGCGTGTAACATAAATGTAATTCATATAGCAGAGGTCAACTCTTCATTATTTTGATGCATATCAATAAGTCGATGAAATGTAAATTCTGTGGTGTTAGTTCTGCTTGGTTCTGCTTTATGACAATTCTATTGTTATGTCTAGTAGCGAAAATTTCAACTCTGCTGTAAGCACTTTAAAAAAATGTATGAAATTAGAAGCAAACGGTTTCAAATCAAAGTCGTTTTTAGGTATTCAAATAAAACAAATAAAGGTTTAGTACCCAAATTTGGTTCTAAATCAATATTTATTATAATTTGACAATTTATTTTTGAAGGGTGTTAATCTGTTAAATGCTGTATTTCTTCAAATTCAAATTGTCTATTTGTGTCAGTTCTGTTGTATGACAATTTCCTTGCCTATATCAAGTCCGTTAAATGTCAATCTAATTTTGTATCAGGTCTGTTAAATTGACAATTTTGTTGCCTCTCACTTATACATGTTGAATATTCGGTAAATCGGTAAACTGACAAATCATTTCAGGTCTATTGATTAACAATTCTAATAAGTGTTCGAAGTCCATAAAGTAACATTTTTGTTGAATGAAGATAAAAAAATACCATTTCGATAAAATTGTAATAAAATAAATGATTGGCAAGTCAGTATAGTAAAATATAAGTTCTGTTGCACGTTTTGTCAGTTGAATGACGACTGTTTTAAATACATCAAGTTTTGTTAAATGACAATCTTACTAGATCACTAAAAACTTGTTCTGAAATTGAGTAAGAATTTGATTCAATTTGATAACGCATAAAAAAAATCTTTTAAAAGTTATGTTTGGCTGGTTTTTACCTTAATTTCATAAAAATTGCAAATATAACCTAACATTTTTTGCTTCTTTGGTACTTTTTTTAGGAGCGCGTTAGTTATTAAATTACGATTTTGCTATTTTTGTACAGTTCGGTTACTTTTGTCATAGTGCAAGTATAATAAATTTTGTCACTCAAAATTTCTTTTGTTCAAATAGCATAGAAAGCCGCATTTTCCGTAAAGTTGATATTTGCTAGGACACTAAGCAATTTTCGACCTAACGACAAATGCTACTTACTTTTAGAATCTATAGGGAAAAGGTCAATACAAGAAGAAGTCAAAAATAAATAGAAGAGCTTTAAATTGAAGCTTTGGAATTTTTTATTGGTTCATAATATTTCTAATCCTTCGTTACAAAATTAAGCGACGGGAATGTGATCACCCTCGGCGCGGAAACCATTTTCGTCGGCGACGTAGTTGACTTTGTAATGTTGGTTGGTTTCTGGGTCAACCCATTCGAAGCTTCCGCGGACGGCAATGGCTTCCTCTTCAGTTCCTTGGTTGATCAGTTCAGCGGTTTCCTCCTTCTTCTGTCCATCGGAAATTTCGTAGCTGTACGAGTATCCTTCCAATCCGTTGTTCTCGTGCAATTTCTCCTTGACGAGGACGGCTTCGACGGTAGCTGGGTGGACGCGACTTTCAACAGGTGCCAAGTAGGCGTTTTCAACCCGGGACTCTGCTACTGGCGCCAAGTAGGAGTTGTCAACTCGGCTCTCAGCAGCTGGCGCCAAGTAGGAATTGTCGACTCGGGATTCGGCAGCTGGCGCCAAGTAGGAGTTGTCCACACGTCTTGAGGCTGCAGCACGATGGTGACGGCTGTTGTGGGGAAGACGTCCTGCACAAGCGACGACCACGAGGGCGGCGAGAACTACGAACTGAAATTGAAAAAATATTCCTTATTCTTTATTTTTCGATTTTTTTTTGCATTTTCAGCCTATACCCGAGTCGAAATTCAGACCCTACTTCGAAGCTTTAAATGTTCTGCCCATAGCAAGCTTGCCGTAATTTTTTCATATTGCATAACAAGATTGCTGCAGTATTGCCTGGCAAGCTTGCTACAAATTATTTTCTTACACACGGAGAAAACTGGATATCTAAAAATGGATATTAAAAAAGATATTACCGTTTAACATCTAGATGTCAAAGTCCAGGCACATGCTCAGTAGTCACGTGACTAAAATTTAACATCTTGGATATTAAAGAATAATATTACTAAATGTAAACAAATGATATAACTTTAAATCATAAAAAGTGGTTTTTAATATATAAAATACACTTTAACTTCAGAATAAATTCAAGCAAAAAATATTGAATCTTAATATATTTAGATATAGCTGTCCTTATGTTAAAGAATAAATACATTTAAGAATTAAGTTTTAATATCTGGGTAGGACATTTTAAGCTTGCAGCAATCTTGTGTTAAGCTTAAAAAACTTGTATGGTAAGCTTACAAATTTTTGTTTGTAAATTGTACGTTTCTTATTATTAAGTTAGTCTTTAAAAGTAAACGGAAAAAAATGTTAACACTCAATATCAAAGTATAAAAGTTTGAGAAATTTGAAATTAGATAGAAAGTGACGAAATATGAATATATTTTTTGGTACTCTCACCTGTTTCATGGTGATTGTATAGAGAAGATGCTTTCCACGATATGAGGAAACTAGAACTGATGATTAGCTGAAGATGTTCCACGCCTTATATACCAATTTTTTTGGGATGCCCTTTCGATTATTAATTTCCAAATTTAGTCAATAGAGGATGACATTTAAATAATAATGAGAGGCATATTCGTATTACGTGAACAGCACATTTTGATTACCAAATAAATATCGCAACTTATTTTAATTTTGACAGCCCTTTTCCGATTATATGCTGGAATTTATAATTCGTTTTATAGTAATAAGAATTAATATTACTACTATATTACCATTATAATTATTAAGATTTAAGGTCGACGCTCAGCATCGAAAACTATTTCTTTTATAATTTTTAATGATAAACTGTTAATCAATTTCACTTCTTTCAATTACCTAAAAGATAAAAAAATTATAAGATCAGTTTTTTTCACATAAAACCTAAATTGTGTGATATTGATATTAATTAATAAAAATTTAATAAGTAGGAAAAAATCGCCAAAATTAAATAGTTTCTTATTTGTGATAATCTGTAAAAATTTCTACAATAAATTTAATATCATTATGTAAAACAGATTTACAATTTTCTTTCGGTTATAATTATTCTTGTTGGAATTTACGGACCATTTGTAGAGAGTTGATTAGCCTGTTAATTGTTATGGCTTCTTTCATTGTCTTTTTTTCAAGATTCTCAAACGGTAATTTTGCACGCAAGGTATATATAAATCATGTATTTTTTCTTTCTTTCTTTCGTTTTTTTTGTTTTCTTTGCTTCATCTTCAATCTAGTTTACACTTTGTGGTTCATTGAGCCAACTGAAATCATTATCATCACGTTTTTCACATATAACAGAGTGTGAACTTTTGAAACTAATTCACACCTACATTAATACATATACCATGAAACATGTATAAAATGAAACTTTGTTGTATCTGGTCTCATAAAATTTATCTCTCGTTTTTAATAAAAGTTATACCTCCCATTTAATGATATTTCTGGGGAAAACACCAAACATTTTATTTAAATTCACTAATTAAATTAAATAAACATGTTAATAAGTGCGGTCACGGTTCTAAGAATTGAGAATTACTAAACCGCGACTACACGGAAAAAAAAGTACGTGAATCCTTCCTTGAAAGTGCTTGACTTTTGGATAGGACACAAAATACAAGACTGTATCATATACTTTTTATTAGAAAATATAGAAAAGTCCTAGAGTTATTCTAGTACTAGTATGGGCAACAGTGTTTTTTAAATTTTAACGAAAAGTCATTTGTTCAGTTTTATAAAGTACGTGAAAGATTAGTTGACTGCACAGAGAGAAAAATCAAGCGTTTGTAGTATGGAGACTTCCTATGCTAATTTTGTATGAACGTCCTGCTAAAGAGGCATGTTTTTATACCTCAGTTGCATGAAACATATACTAAAAAAGCATGGATCTCTTGCAATCGTAGTATACTGACGTCCCATGCGTTACAGGTAGAACTTTTATGCTGATAACGTAGAAATTTATACAAATACAGCAGAAGTTTTACGCATATTGCGCATGTGCATTCTTTTACGAAATAAGCTTAACTGTCCATACTACAAACGCTTGATTTTTCTCTCCGTGTGCGCTTGAAAATTCTGTAGAGCATGCGCAGTGTGCGTTGCGCGTTTCTACCCAAGGTAAATGCCAGCTGATCGTCTGTTTCCATTTGTGTTAATTTCAGATGTGAATATACTATTATTTTATGAAAAACAAATAGTGTTAATATAAATTTGTCTTCAAGAATTGACTTTCAAAAAAATATTTTTTATTTTGTGTTTCTCACAAAACAGAATGTTATGTAACTCTCAGTTTCCAGTGAAATAGCATGTCTCAGAAGTCGTGAAAAATTTCACCATCCCAGGTGCGAATTTAGGTTGGCCGCCAGAGTTTGAAGGTTGGCCCAAGGTTGGCCTAACTTTGGCAAGCAAAGTTTTGGTTGCCAGAGTTTGCCCAACTTTGGCAAGTACTTGTGCCCACAGTTGGCCCGACTTTGCAAGCCAACCATTAAATGCAGAGTTTAACCAACCGTCGGGCCAACTTTGGCGACAAAGGTTGGCACAACTTGTCCAAACGTAGTTTAAAAGACTTTCAGTTTCGGTTGGCCGAACTCTGGGCCACGGTTGGCCCAACGGTTGGCAAAACTATGTAAAACACAGTTTAATTGACTTACATTATTTTGGTTGGCCGAACTCTGGGCCACGGTTGGCCCGACGGTTGGCAGAACTATGTGAAACGCAGTTTAATTGACTTGATTTTTCTTGGTTGGCCGAACTCTGGGCAACGGTTGGCCCAACGGTTGGCAAAACTCTAGAAACGCACTTTAAATGACTTAAACTTTCTTGGCTGGCCGAACTCTGGGCCACGGTTGGCCCAACGGTTGGCAAAACTATGTGAAACGCAGTTTAATTGACTTAAACTTTCTTGGTTGGCCGAACTCTGGGCCACGGTTGGCCCAACGGTTGGCAAAACTCTGTGAAACGCAGTTTAATTGACTTGATTTTTCTTGGTTGGCCGAACTCTGGGCAACGGTTGGCCCAACGGTTGGCAAAACTCTAGAAACGCAGTTTAAATGACTTAAACTTTCTTGGTTGGCCGAACTCTAGGCCACGGTTGGCCCAACGGTTGGCAGAACTATGTGAAACACAGTTTAATTGACTTAAACTTTCTTGGTTGGCCGAACTTTGGGCCACGGTTGGCCCGACGGTGGGCAAAACTTTGTGAAACACAGTTTAATTGACTTAAACTTTCTTGGTTGTCCGAACTCTGGGCCACGGTTGGCCCAACGGTTGGCAAAACTCTAGAAACGCAGTTTCATTGACTTAAACTTTCTTGGTCGGCCGAACTTTGGGCCACGGTTGGCCCGACGGTGGGCAAAACTTTGTGAAACGCAGTTTAATTGACTTGATTTTTCTTGGTTGGCCGAACTCTGGGCCACGGTTGGCCAAACGGTTGGCAAAACTTTGTCAAATGCGGTTTAAATGACTTAAACTTTCTTGGTTGGCCGAACTCTGGGCCACGGTTGGCCCGACTGTTGCAGCTTAAATATACATTTTGCGTTATGCACTCCCATGTGAGCGTAGCGTAGTGGTCAGTGTATAAGTCTTCGGTGCGTTAGGTTAGGGGTTCGATCCCAGCGAGCGATAGATATTTTCGAAAATGTATGTATGATATTGTGTTTAATAATAATAGGTAAAGGTTATATCTGATGTTCCCGCTAATAATAACGTGTTAATTGTTTAAATAATGTAGTTTTTTAATAATTTTTTACCTTTGGCTGTTGAAGTTGGCCAAACTTTGAAAATTGTGGTTGGCCCAACTTACGCATCTAAAGTTGTTCCAACTTTGGCATCAATCGTTGGACCAACCATTGAAATGTATAGTTGGCACAACACATGCATTGTAAGTTGGGCCAACTTCCTTATGAGTTGTCGGGCCAACCATCGTCGCCATTAGACGGTCGCCGTTATCATCTGTATGGTTGGCCCAACCTCTGGCACGAGAAGTTGGACCGACTTTGTAAAAGTTGGCCCAACTATGGGCCGACCAAAAAATCGCACCTGGGATGTGGTATATAAGAACAATTCGATACGTACTTTTAAGTGTTATGTGTGTGTTTATATTTAAGTTATACGCGAATATATGTGTGTGTTATAGGTTAGTTCATAAGTGTTGACGAACGTCGAAAAGTGATACAATAATTGTTCTTTGTTTGTGTGATTAATTATCCAAATATGTGAATGAATGAGTCAATTTCAGAAAAACTGTGTGAACAAGTGGAAATTATTTTTTTTATTTTACAATTTTTTTGAAAGTCAATGAAATTCTCAAGCAAGGTACTAGAAATTTTCATTGACTGCTTTTGAAACTCTCATGCAAAAGTACAAGACTGTTTTCAGTATTTTGTGTCGTATCCAAAAGTCAAGTACCGAGTCAATGAAAATTTCACGTACTTTTTTTTCCGTGTAATCCAGGCGCGGATTCAGAAGCAAATTTGGGGGGGGGGGTGATTCGTAAATTAAAACCTTATAGTAATGAAGGCATAGATATATTAATACCTAACATTACACATTAATTTTTATATAATTAAATCCACTTTGGTTTAATAATTAAGTAAGTGATAATTTATTAATTAAACCGATTTTGATTTTACAATTCAGTTAAATTTGTTTATATTTTGATACCTTAATTTTTAATTACCAATTTTTTCTTTATTTTATTTCAGTTAATTTTCATGTTTTTATTAAAAAATGAGAATGTAACATTGAATATTAAAATAATATTGAAAAAATATAATTATAGTGTTATTAAAGTATTTTGTAATTGGTCGGAATTGAAGTTATCGAAAGACAATAAAATATTTATCGCGGACAATCATAAAACATATTGATTCACTTTTTTGGATAATAAAAAGTAATATCGAGGAAAAGATTTTACCAAAAAATTGTCTTTAAAGGTTTAAAATTAAATCATTAACCCTTTGAGGACCAGTGTTGCTTTCAGGCAACATGAACATTTTTTTATTAACTCGGGCATAAATTTCTTAATTTTCAAAACTGAATATTGAAACAATAATTTTCACATAGTCTGGAAAATTTCGTATCACAAACACTGGTCTTCAAGTAAAAAACTTCAATAACTTTCCCTGAAAAGTTTGCTTACACGGAGAGAGATTCTGTTTTAATATTTCGTATTATTATATTATAGTATTTAGTAAAACCGATTGCAATTTGGGGAAATCATGTACATTTATGAATTAATATTACCATTTTTAAGAAAGTTTATAATCAAATTATTACTTTGTATTATTCTGAAGTAATAGAAATTGAAATAGTCAATAAGAAGTTGTAATATTATAAGTAAGAAAGTATGCAATAGTAAAAAGTATTACCAGATGATTATACTAAATACTATCGAAGAATTACATAAGTTGTTAATTTAGTTATGAATAGTATTATCGACTATAATAAAAATTATGTAAATAATTATTAATTAATTATTAATTATTATCAGTCGAGCATTTCCGAAATTATCCGAGTCAAACCTCGTGGCAACATGTGCACGTTGTGTTTACCCCAAAATATTTTAATTTGATGTGTCAAAATGTGTCGGAATTGGGTGAACAATTTTATTTTGTTCATTCAATAATTTTAATCGACAATGAAGATTTCCTAATTGTAGT